GATTGATTTTTAAAAGTATCTTTATTAGGGAAGTATGAATGCTGATCCAATGTGTTTGAGCTGGGAACTTCTTAGTTTTGGTTAATAATCTATTTGGTTCCTGGTCCCGCATTTGCAATCTCCATGTACTATTGATAAACATGTCAGTTTTTGTCACAAGTCATTAAGTCGTGCAATTTTTGAGTTCTATAAAATCAAATCAGCATCAGAATCAATAGAATATGTTATAACTTGATTTAGGTTACCTTACATTGTGGTCTTTTAGTGGAACAAGATATTTTCTGTGGCAGAAATAGTAGTTCATTGTGCAATATATGGTTAATGTAAGGTTATCTCATGTTGAAGTATGAGAATATCCTATTTCGGTGCATTGCTTGCTATCAGCCTCAAGCAAATCACGACTGGAATGTATTTTATACTCTTGCTGCTAGAAATTTTTCTGAAGGCCATGTCAGTCAGGGATGACTGAGTTATCTTATGCTGGAAAGTATCTTATGTCCCCTTTGTTCAAGAGATGCACTGTCATACCTGAACTTGTTATGATACTATTTTCACAATTTTTGCCCTTGTTATAATATGGTTTAACGTGCTGTGCCAAGCAGACTCATCTCAATGAATTAGTTGTTTCGGTAATAACTCTACTTTTCTTTGTAATACTCTCACTGTTGTTGCTACCGGCTGTTGCATGCAAGCCCTAGTTATAATGATCTCATTCATCAGGATGCAGCGAAACAAGGGTCAATTTACATCATCCAAGAAGTCCGAAGGGGAGTCTGGTTGGGGTTCAGCACAGGATTCTGGACAAGATGAGGCACCACAAGAAACATCGTGAGTTGGTCACTTTTTAATATTGGACTTATATTGATTCTACCTCAAGTTGTTCTCATATACTGTTTGTCCTAACAATTGTATACTTGTGGCGATTCTATCAGTTGTATGCATTGTGGCACAAGCTCGAAATGTACACCGATGATGCGGCGTGGACCATCAGGTCCAAGGTCTCTTTGCAATGCTTGCGGTCTATTTTGGGCAAACAGGGTTTGTATCTTATCCATTATTAAGAATGTCATTGCATGCTTGTGGTCTCTTTGCAAATATTTTGTTGTTAAAATTTGACATTATATGTCGCATGAATTTATGATACTTCATCAAGCCTTGGTGAACCTTATTTCTTGTCATCACAAATTGCCTTGGGCTAGCACATTGCAAGAATTGCATTAATCTGGCCTTTAGGACTTAGGAGAAGCAAGTAGTAATTGCCTTGCTAGTAGCTTTCCTACTTTGTGGTGTCAACCCTCTTCTTATGTCCACACCACATTTGCATGTACATGCATGTATATCTGCGCAACACGGTTGCGTTTATGAGAGCGTGCATAGCTATGCTCTTGCATTGGTTCTCAATTTTTTCTTATAGGAACTGTTTTGAGTTGCCGAATAGGCGAATACTGTCTGAGTTGCCCTGATTTTCTTGTTGAAGTTATACAATTAGACAAAAGGTTTACGGGAAAATGTCATTCATTGACTTTTAAAATTTCATGTTATTTACCCATGAATTCGAGCTGAGCTGATGGCTTTGTTGAGCTACCAACTGGTTGGCCTGTTGTGCTGTTTTTGATATTTTAATGGCATTTAGGATGTTTAATTGTCTATACTTTGTTGAGTGCCCTGCATGCTACTTGTTGGAGCTCTCTTTTGGATATTGGTGCCTCTGTACGAGATTCAACTCAAGGATGCTATGTTTCAAAGTTTATTATTTGCCAAAATTCTTGAATATTATTCGCAAATCTGTCACTGAAGGACTGTAATGCAGATGTTAGGGCTGTTAAATTTAATGCATTTCCTTCTCTTGAGCGAAGAACATCTTATGGAAATAATATCACAATTTTCATTTCTCCAAGCGCCGGATATTATGGACAGGCTCTTTATTGACTGGAGTTTTGACCTTTTACAGAACATATAATCCTTGGGGAGCTTTTCTTTTGGCCTTTTTATTGTTGTCAATAATTTCTCTACAACATTAATTTCAAGGAATGTGTTATGCATGTCTGTTGCTTTTTGATAGAGTAATGTATTAAATATATAAGAGAGTTGAGAGATGATTGCATCTCCAAGCATTTAGACTGCTGTAAACTTCACTCTGTCTCTCAAATTCACAGTAGTAGGACAAAAGAAGAAAAATGGTTAATTGCGTTGAGTTTAAATGCAAACTTCAGGAAAAGTATGTACTTAGGTTCTGCTATTTTGTGAGAAGCTCATAGAATGCCGGTTAAATGTCATTTTCATGGCCTCCCAAGGTTTTGTTGCACATATTTCTTTTAGAAGTAGAGATTTTTTTGCCTTCATTCAATGCTCCAAAGTGCTCCCAAAAGATTTTTGCCAAGTGAACTTTTTTTATCATTGTGGTAGAGACTTTTTGAAGAAAACTGATGTGTATCAGTATAGCTTTCAATCTGGGTCATTATATCAAGGAGATGCAAAGAAATTTGGATTTCGGTTTCATTACAAGTTTGTACATGTATAGATTCCTAGCATATGCATAGCTCCAGATTCAATTCTTTGAGATATATACCAATAGCTACTAGCCGAAGGGAACACTCTCTTGCCGCTCAGTGAATTCTAAGGAAGAGTCCAGTCTGGCGCTGTCATTTTGATAGATGTTCTTATGGTAGTTTGATGCTGATTACAGTGAAGACTGTAGAGTAAATGGAGAGTGTGGTTCTTGTCGATCATCTAACTGCTGCCTTTTCATTGTTAGCATTTCTAAGTTCATATCTTCTGTCATCATCTTCTTCACTTGAGCTGGCTATTGAAATTTACACAAATTCAGTGTTTAGGGGAAGCACTTACACATCACGATTTAACTGCATGCAGTCTACAGCACTTTTGGCTTTCTGTGTTCCATGCTTTTTGAGTTGTTCTTTGCCCTGCTATTTTATAGTCTACACTAAGTGTTATACTGACATTGCTCTGGGCTTTGTTGGCTCTTCTAGCTTTCACTGTATACTATATGATGGGTAAAATTGGACAAAGTTGATAAGGTTGACTTAAGTAAGGTGTTGAGGCGTTAGAAAAAAGGCATTAAATAAAGTGGGTTAAACTTCAAATAGGTTTTCTTCTGACTCCTGAAGTTGCTCTGAAGTAGGGTCTTTTTGATTCTGAATGACTGGTTTTGTTCTTCCCATTTCATATCCATCAATTAGCTTTCGCAGTATCTTTCATAATGGACTTATTTTTTGGGCCAAATTTTCCTGATGGACTTTGCAGGGGACCTTGAGGGATCTTTCCAAGAGAACCCAGGATCATTCTCTTAACTCAGCTGAACAGGCATGTTTTGTTCGAACAAGTTTTGTTGCTGTTATCTGGTGATTGTATCGTTTTTAAAGTGACGTATGATGTTCTGAATCAGTGTGAAGGCGAGGTAAACAACTCAGATTCTGGAACCGGCATTCATCCAAACAACAGTCTCGTTATTTTCTCGAAAGCTGACCCTGGAGCTTTGATAGCTGAACGCTGAACCAAGTTTGGTGTACAAGTTATAGTGGACACTACTTGCTTCAGGGGTCGGTCAAGTGGGACGTGTCCAGTAATTTTTTCTGCTTGTGCTATTAAATGTACAGTTATCGAACTGCTTGCAGAATACAAATCATTTACTGTTATTCCTTTGCTAGTTGCTCTTTGGATGTACTAATTAGGGGTACCTTACAAATTAGCTCTCCTCTAGGTGTCCCAGATCCAAAACACATTTTTAGGTCCCCATCGGCTTGACAATGAAAAGATAATTTAAGAGTTTGTCTTGCTCTTGGATTAGCATGTTTCTTCGGAGTCTTTTGCTTTCTAGTCTCTTTAAGCGAAGTTTGTTTTGAAAACGAATTGAAGCGATTTTACTGACTAATATCTGTCAAGAGCTCGAACTATTATCTCTTCCCTTGGCAGTAGAGAAGGGCTGATGATCAATATCATCTGGACATAAATGACTGATTAGTTGGTGGTCACTGGTCATGATTTCTTTGAGGGATTTTTAGAGTTAGTTCTTTGGACGCATGTTTCGGTATATGGAATTGGTACTGTACTAGGCCAGTGTGTGCTCCTTGACAACTGAGGGCAAAAGTTCCCGTTTGCAACGGTCGAGGCATCAAAACTACGAGAATGTTCAGGCATTTAATTGTGAGTTCAAATGTGGCTCATGAAAGCAACGGTTAATGTGCTTAGCATCTTTTATGGCCAATTCGCGATTATGTCCGTTCTCGGAGAAAGATTAGTGACCCCATCCCATCGAGCAGCCTAATGGAAAGCTGTTATGGCGATGAATTAGTAAAACATCGAACCAAGATAAGCATCCTCAAAAGGAAAAATGGAGGTGTCTTGAGGTGTAATGCCCTCCTCTCGATGGGGCTTGAGATCGATGGATTTTACTTGCTCCTGTCCGGTTCTTGTCGAAACACAATTTGGCAACTGGCCCATCTTTGTAATTTTTCAACATGAGGGTGACATGCAAGTCTTGAGAGTCCGCACATGCATGCTTGGTTCGTGTTTTAAATGGATCGATAGTTTAAGATCAACTACAACGTAGCAGAAAGTATCTGGGAAATTACCAAAAAAAGTCGTAAATCAATTGTACTTTTGCCAAATAGGTACTAAATCTTTAAGTTGAGATACATATTTTCATTTTGGCAGGAAAATCTAATAATTAACTTTAACTTAGGAAATAACTGAAGAAAATTGTGTTAAAACATCTTCGTTAAACAAAATCCCCTAGTAGTAATCTTTCATTAATTTCTTTGATGAGTTATCTTTTCTTTTTTCGCGTGTTGAAGTTACTATATGACTATTTCATCATCTATATCGTTAAAAATATATACACACACATATATATGTGTAGATAAATATATAAATATATGTTTGCATTTATATAATTATATATATTTATGTATTTTTTTGGATCAATATGTATATGTATGTTGGACCCAAAAGAAAAATATGTGTAGCTGATATATAATTTATGTAAATATGTTTTTGGGGATGACAGCTGACAATGCTCATAGCAGAAAGTGGGCCGGGCTTACCATTGTTTTGGAAGGCCCAAACCAACCAATCGCTCCCATCTTCCGCAGAGCAAGACACAAAGACCAGAACATCCTCACTTTGCTCCCACGCTCGCCCACCGTCCCTCCTGCAACTTCCCCATCGGTTCGTCTCTGACCCTGCCTCCCTCGCTGCCTCCTTCCCTCCTTCCTTTTAAGTTCTGGGTTCATGTGGGTTTACGTCAGAGAGTCTCAGTTTCTCTCCTTCTGCTTTTAGGTGGGGTTCTCTGTTGTCTTTATCTCTATGTGCTGGAACCGTGTACTCGTCGGTTAGGTGATTGATGTTGTTTGCTTTTGTTTGTGTTTTTTTTTTTTTGTTGGTTTGGGGAACTTATGACAGGTCTGGGTTTTTTGCCGGCCGAACCATGGAGGAGACAGGCAGTTTACCCGACAAAGAAACCGTGGACAAGTGAGTTTGTTTTCGGGTAGCCTTTTGTTTCTCTGCAGGAGGGGTCTGAAACGAAATTTGATGAGAATTCATGTTTATAGAGTTAGCTAGGACGATTGTGTCATTTTTTTGTTTTGTTTTGTGTTTCCCTTTGAGATAGTTGTTGGGTTTTGCGAGGTTTAGCAACAATTTGTGATGATGGGTTTCTTGTTTTTGTTCAGAGTAGCGCCGCAGTTGGCTGCGGTGTTGAAGGAAATAAAAGAAGGGCTGGATACGGTGAAAGCTAAGGTGCAAGCTTTAACTGCGAAGGTAGGCCATGGGGTTGCTGTCATATGATCTCTTTCGGTGCACAAATAGTTGAAAAAGGAGCACTTCATCAGTTTCTTTTGTGTGTGTGTGTGTGTCATTCTATTATCTCTGTTTTTTGATTTTTTCATGAGATCTATCATCAGGTCGCCATAGCGATGATTATGTCTTCTGCTTTGGAACTTAGTTTGAGTGCCGGAGTAATACAATTCCTTGATTTTATGCTATAATTGATTTGGAGTTGTACCATATGCCAGGTAAAAGCGCGTCAATTTCCAACAGCAGAAGGGATAAGCTACCTTGAAGCAAAACACCTACTTCTTTTAAGCTATTGCCAGTCTCTCGTGTATTATTTGCTACGCAAGGCAAAAGGACTTTCTATTGACGGTCATCCTGTTGTTCGGAGCCTTGTCGAGATGAGATTATTTTTGGAAAAGGTTTGCATTCCCTATTGCTTCTTGTTTGGGTTTCTACCGCGTAAACTCTGGTACTTATGGAATCCATATCTTCTTGCTGAATCAGATCCGACCCATTGACAAGAAACTCCAATACCAAATTCAGAAACTCACAACAGTTGGGAGAGGTGCTGCAAAGAGCACTGCCCTAAATGAAAAGGAAACAGATGCTCCTCGGAGAACTGAAGATTTGTTGAAGTATCGTCCAAACCCGGACATGCTTGTCGGCAAATCAGATACGACTGCTGAGGTGAATATTTCTAGCCAAATGTTCTCCTTGAGCTCTGCTTTATTCATTTTTATGGCAACCCAATTGAAGAAGCGAATATGCTGTCCGACTTCTAAATCAACTGCCATATGATTTAGGGCGCTGGCGGCGTTTATAAGCCTCCCAAGTTTGCCCCAGCTTCAATGGGGGAGGATAAGATGTCAAGGCAAGAAAGAAATGCTTTAAGAAAGGAGAAAGAGACTCTACGACAAGCTAGGCAGAGTGACTATGTGAGAGAACTGATGGATGATTTGCAGGGTAGACCTGAAGAGGTAAGACTGAATCCTTTAATGATGTGATGGATTGCTATCCTCAGTAGTGCTTTTCCTGGGTTGATGGAGCAGCACATCCTCATCTCGTGATACGGGAGGATGAAATTCTCTTTTGCCGGATATATGTTTTCCAAATCTTTTGCAAATACATTCATGATCTTTCAAACTGTTGTAAATAGACGCACAATTATTTTGGACGTTCTTTTAATCCCCTTAGAAAAAGAATTCCCTGAGAAGAAGGAACGTACATTTTTACATAAAGATTGATGTGAGCTCCAACACATTTAATATGTCATTTACTTTGTTGAATAGCTTTATTTACTATCTTTTTTATTTGTAGTGATCAGCTAATATATGAACTTTGCATTGAAAATCATATAAAATTTTGGTTGATATTGTCCCTCCCCACAACCAAAGAAAGAAGTGAGATTCGGAACTATCGCAAAATTGATGAATAGTCTTCAAAATCAATCTTATCTTCGGTAAGAAAATGCGCAAATTTTTTTTAATGAATCTGAAAGGGCATTTCAATATCTTATTATTTTCAGCGTATCTGGGTCATTTTTTAGTTTGTGTAAGATTAACAGTTGAAGTTTTCTTTTAAGCCTTTTGGGTGGGGTGGGTATTTGAAATGGTATATTAATCTTGAAGTGTTTGCAACAAACTCCATAGGTTGGGTTTGGGGGGATTATAATTAACCCTGCTTTTTTATTTTGCACAACATCTTCCCCTCATTCTTTTTTGATATTTTATGCAGCTATATTGAGCTATTCTACTTGCGTTGAGTATCTTTTTATATCATGTAAAAGCATCATTACATAATTTACTTGTGTAATGTCAGCCCGTAAAGTAGTGGATTCTTTGATTGTTTATTTAGTCACTCTATGATTCTGATGTGGCTGATGACGATATATGCAGATTCGTGAAGTTATTGGGACCGAAAGTAGGGAGCTTACTACATATAAGGCAAAATGGGAAGAGCGTGCAAGGCGAGAAGAGGAGCTTTTCATGCGAGCTCCTGTTACGAAGTTGGAGAAAAAGAAGGAGAAGCACTTGTTGAAGTCAAGAAATGGGTATGTGCTTATAATGAGCTAAATTAATATATTTCCTTTGTGACTTACACCCATGTTTTTCTACATCCTGTGGTGGAATTCAATTTGAAATTGTCATCATATTTGTGTTTTCAATGATTTTGACCTTTCTTCTCCTGTCCTTGCCAGGTTGCTTGGCCTTGCTGACAGCTTTTACGATGAAGTCAAAACCTTGCCTTTAGAGGAGGATGCTGGTGAAAAGATGTCTGGCTTCGGTGATGGTAGCAGGGGGATGAGAAAACTTAAGAAGCGCAAGGTACTCTTGAATATGTACTCTTGTTTTAGTATTTGCTTTCGTTTTTAGTTTGCCCACACTATGACCAACTTCCTTTGCCACTCAGCCAATTTGTGCATAAGACTTATTAGGACTGTGGGGAAATTGATATTACATCTGTTAGTCACTCTTCATGTTTACTGTGCAGGACCTTTCCCTTTCCGTTTTCTTATTTGTCAAATTATAGCGTGTTATTCATACAGCATGCAATTCTCTCTCGTTGTTTCTTGTTTTTTCCTTTTCGTCTGAAAGAACATTTGGAACGAGAGAGTATAGACTATTTTTGCTAATATCCTCTCTCTCTCTCTCTCTCTCTCTCTCTCTCTCTCTCATGACAATTTCTTTGGGCCTATTTACAGAGAAAGCATTGAAGGAGTGAGCTTATCGTTTCGTGAATATCTTATGATGCATGGCTGCTGTTTGAGCAATTTTGAGGCGGAGGGGAGTAAATGTCATTACGATGACGGCGCGGTTTTGTTTTACAGGAAGAGTTGCAGGTTTTATAATGTAACGGAAGGCTAGTTGATTATGATCTTACATATTACGTAAAACTCGTATATGCTTCATGTGAGATTGCGACTTCACTAAACCAATGCTATTCTCCTTTTTGGCTTTTAGATGTTATTCCTACTTTGAGCCACTGTTAACCTTTTGGATTCTGAGCCTAAGCACCTGTAAGGCTACTCCTAAAGCACGGCCAAAGTACCCAATCAATGCATTTTTGGCAAATATTGATGTTACCGCATGCTCTGATTGCGGTAATTAGGGATATTGTGTGTGAAGACTCGACCTGTGACTCTTTTGGTTGATGTACTTCAATTTTTCTGCAATATGGTCATATTATATGCTGGTAATGGAACCATTGTCGGAACTCGGGAACATAACATTGTACTAGGTTGCAAATTTTTTGTAATTAACGTTTTTCCCAGTTTTTTTTTTTTTGATCAAAAGAACCATATTCATACAATTCTCACGACTTAGCTTGCGAGTACAACGGCAAAGCATCGACACAAAGTAGACTCCAAAGATCGGGAGAGGGGTAGAGTTTTCAATTCTGTGGCAGAACATTTTTTCTTTGAGCCTGCGCTATCCAGTCTGTCACTTTGTTGGACTTTCTATTACAAAAGGCCAACTTAATATCAGTAAAATTTTCTAACAGATCTTTGGCTTTCAAAATTAGCACATGTATATCCCACTTGAAATAATCTACACATGTGACAGCTTTAACCAAGTCTAAATTATCCGACTCTAGTAGAAGGCAATCCTTTGCCCGTTCAGAGAAGAAGACTAGCGTTTCTAGAAGAGCACTGACCTCGGCTCGAGCTGCGACAATGGTAGAAAATGTACAGCTCTAACGTTTTTCCCAGTTAGAGCTGTACATTTTCTGCCTATCTGCTGCGATTTTGTGATTAACGTTTCCAGCTCCTTCTGATCTGTCGTACATCAGAAGCAATGTTTCACTGCACAATCCACTGCTGACGGATTTGCCCTGGATACTTTCAGGAAAAGAATGATTTTGTAATATTTAGAGCCCCTCGCAATATGACTTGCCAAAAATTGTGTGCAACGATTTCTTTCCTTGGTATAGGATTTGAGAAGTTTGGATCGTGAAATCAGATCAAAACTTTTGAGTCATAAATTATGTGAAATTTGACTAGATCTTAGAATAAGCGGACCTTCAAAGACCTATATTGCATCTAAAAATTAACATTTTCTTAATTGCAAATCCTCGGATCGTAGAAATTTCTAAGTTGAACCAAGGTCACCAGCATGCACTATTTCATTCGCGATCTTCATTTTAATATGCACTTTGCATTCTGAACATGCCAATATTTTGTATTAGAGAACATATATAAAGAGTAATTTTTTAACGTGAAATTTAGAGACTTTAGATGTGTTTGAAGTACATCATACTACCTATATTATCTGACCATAGCTAATAAATCACGTCTTATTATAACTTCGTCCTCAAAAGAAGCCTACACCTGTGGTACCATACTTTTGACAAGGGATGTTCCGAAATTCCCATTTTCGTTTTACATACTGGAGCGATCCATGCTCCAGGTAACTTGGTTTCAAACATGTCCAATCAAAATGGAAAAATGAATCAATGAACAAATGATATAAGCGGACTGATTCTAGGATTTTAAAATTTAATTCAGGATAATAATTACCATTGTTAGTTAGAATTGATTGTCAAATAATATCTTGTCAATCATAAACTTGAAGAGCTGGGAGTAGGACGTAGGGGTGATCGGTTCCCGGTTCGGTCCAGTTCCAAGTGGAACCGGGAACCGGACTGGGAGAACCGGTTCCCAATTTTGGGAACCGTGGACCGGACCGTTTGGTCCTAAGACCGGGAACCAGACTGGACCATCGGTCCTGTCCGGTCCAATAGAACCGGTCACTTAGGATTTAGTTTTTTTTTTTATCAAATAATTAGGGTTTAGTTCACATTTTACTAATTTTTATCAATGAATTTATATCAATGAAGTTCACTTAGAGTTTAGTTCACATTTTACTAATTTTTATCAAAGAATTTATGTCAATAAAGTTCACTTAGGATTTAGTTTACATTTTATTAATTTTTTTGAAGAAAAAATATGTCGGTCCGGTCCGGTTCCCCCTTGGAACCGGGAACCGGACCGCCCGGACACCGGTTCCACTTTTAGGAACCGGGAACCGGACCGGCACCCCTTAGAACCGCCCAAATAGTGTCGGCCCGGTCCGGTCCGGGCGGTTCCCGGTTCGGGCGGTTCCGTTTGCACACCCCTAGTAGGACGTCAACATCAGGTCAACACAGTGAAGCCATTTGATTCTAGTCTAACCATCGTTACTTCATGAACACTGTGCACGATAATATGGACTAATAATTGGAAGTTATACAAGAACAAACTTGATATGCAATGTGTAGGTTCAGTAGCTTTCTTTTGAGCAAATCTACCTAAAGAGTAATCCCATCTTTGCCACATTTACACTTGAAAAAGAGCCAGATTGATTGAACAAAACAATGCCGGTGGACTAGTTGAGGGTCTAGGCTATCATTTTTTCACGAGGAATAAGTCTGTGCTAATCACCTTTTGCAGCCTGCCTTTGAGGAACATTGTAAAGAAGAAGACCTAGAACAAGAATGATTCCGCCAATCACAAAAAAGGGAGTTAAGCTCGCACCTTCAGGGAGATATGGCAATGGACGAGAAAGGACATAAATTGAAATGGGAACTGCCAGACAGAGAGAGAGTCAGTCAGATATTTACATGCACAGATGCGTACAATGACAAAAGCATCTGCACACATTAGTGTGTGTGTGTGTGTGAGAGAGAGAGAGAGAGAGAGAGAGAGAGAGATGACCTGACAACATTACGGCAAGAGAAGCAACAACAGCAGAAGAAATCTTCACCAGATTGAGCAACGATATATTGAAGATAATGTTGGTAGTTACAAAAATTAATGGAAGCCATGGTGCCCCATCACAACCTTGAACATATTGCACAGTTGAAAAAATGAGTTCAATATAAGCTGGATGAAAGAAGTTAATTGAAACGGGAACACATCAAATGAGGTACATAGGCTGTACAAAGTCAAAAGTATCTTCTAGTATAGCACAATTATACATAAATTCATGAGGAATACACTAAAATAGTATGCATATTAATCCTAGCAAAAGATTTTTACCATTGCACAGTTGAAAAAATGAGTTCAATATAAGCTGGATGAAAGAAGTTAATTGAAATGGGAACACATCAAATGAGGTACATAGGCTGCACAAAGTCAAAAGTATCTTCTAGTATAGCACGATTATACATAAATTCATGAGGAATATACCAAAATAGTATGCATATTAATCCTAGCAAAAGATTTCTACCATTTCGCCTCAAGACAGACCTCCATTTCGCCTCAAGACAGACCTAGCGAAATGGTTTGTGTAGGAAAGCTGATCCAAAGCTTTTCATAGGTTGAGAGTTCATAGTCTTTTTCCTGATAACTGAATGGTACCTACTAGTGTGCATACTTTCCACAAAAAATGAGAAGATGCCCAATGGGTTCCAAATTCAGAAAAAAGGAACTAATTTCTAGTTCTCAAAGATGAGAGTAGTTGTAGCTGAAGTTAATGTGAAAAATGTGAACATAATTTTTTTTTACTAGAGTGAAGTTGAAAATTTCAAAAGTTAACTGAATCAAGAGAATGATGATTGTCCCTAAACCTTGCTCATTTAAAAGAAAGAGATCAAAACTTTGGTGAAGATGAGATGGATGGACATGACCAACATTTGATGTATGGATTGTCCACATTGGATAAGTGGTGACCCTCATCTGATGGATGAGGAATTCTGTCAGTGGTTGCGGAGATGTAATGGTATAGCATGGTTCATAGAAATAAATATCAAGAAACACAGTTGTGCCCTGTTCAGAATTTCAACAAGATATCTTTCAGAGGACTACCTAAAGATGGGAGAGCTTACCTGTGGTGTTGGTTCCAATGTTTAGAAAGCAACCAGCTCCTTCTTTCAGATACAGAGGAAGCTGGGCAAATGGTATGCCTTTCAAATTTGATAGAAAAGGCAGAAAAAGAAGCACAAAAAGAGCCTGCAAATGAAGGACATCAAAATGAACAGTGAGAGATGCATCATCATGACAACTATATCTCGCACTGCAAAATCTTTGAATATCTTTCATCCACTATGAGAATTCTTGTTATGGCAAAAAATAAAAATAAAAAAACCGAGGATTCTTTCACCTTCCCTTAAGTGCGAATGCGACATGTACAAACCATCTTTTTCGTTTTGCCCCGCACATGTACCTACCTTCAGTGAAAATATTTTTGCACCATGACAAAATTTACGGGAAATGGTAGTAATTTACCCTTCAACAATATATTTTCTCGCACATTGCCCTCTAGGTCTAAAAAAATTCGTGGAAAAGCCTAAAGAAAGAAACGATTGAACAATTCAATAATCAAGGTTGTAAAGAGTCAACTTATGAAGTGATATTAGAGTTCCCCAAACTGACCAAGTTTTTATTTGCTACTTTGTCTCTGATGAGCTACTATTTACGACATAAGATTTGGCACAGGCTTACCTATTGTCTACTGTATCCAGGAAAGCGTGATACTTGGTTGTCACCAGAAGATAGACAATATACACACCCATATTGCACCATGACATTTGTACGCTTATATACCATGGTCATCTTCAGTTTCTAAGGCATAGGTTTATTACACTGTCACTCTTCTTCAACGAAAAAGAGCTGTTTCCATCACTTGACTGAGAATTTATATCAGACTGTGGGACTCAACTCCATACACAGTTTTCTCTTGGTAGTTACCATCACAACGTGTTATGATGACAAAGTTCTACTGAATGCAGACAATGAGAATTACCTGAAACCCAGATCCAAAAGAATTCACGGCAAAAATGTCAAGTGATTTTCCCTGAAAGGATATACGTTAGAGACATCTAATAATTAGTTAGCCAATTTCACCTAAACTGGATATTGGGAATTAGCGGACCATCTACCTTAAGGTGTCTTGCAGATTCAATAAAAACAGATTCCTGTCCATTGAAGAAATTCAACGTTTACCATTTTGCTGGTATAAGCATAAAATCTGTTAAGACTTGAGAGGTTTTCCCTTTCTAACCTTTATAATAGAAGCGCCAGCTTGAAAAGCACTGGAAGCAATCATCACCAATGGCCATGCAAACTCAATTCCAGATAAAATCTGACCAGAATTAGACCCACTGAAAAACATAACAGGAAAATGCTGGTAACTTATTGTCCATTGCATGTAACAACCAAATAAAAGTGCGTGTTCCCGAACAACAAGGCTCCCTCCCCCCACTGCAGGGTCATCTAACAAACACAGCCTTCTCTTGCTTTTTGACAAAGAGGCTGCTTCCACGACTCAAACTCAAGACTTCCCAGGCGCAAGTGGTAATTATACCTTTACAACCAAGGCATTACAAGTAAAATCAAACAGTCAATAAAGCTATATCAGCTGTTGGCTAATTCTCATATCAGTGGAAGCATCTGTCATACCCATGGCACTCTTTGTTAGAGTATTTAAATGTTAAGTTCCGTCTTCATGAGACTACGAACGACGCATGAGAAGGAGTGTTGGAGTATTTGAATATTGAACCGTGTCTTTACCTACACATGTTTAAGCTATTGAATAAGTTGGTAGTGATCCCACAGTACTTCACCGCCCATGCTTCCTTACCTAGAGACAAAATTGGATTTCTTTGGAATGTTGCATAGGACTTACTGGTTCCTTTTCCTTCCTAAGTGAAATTATTGTGTATTGAGCATCAACAAAACATGACCAGTTAATCCAGAAGTGAGTCATTTACATAGCAACCAGATGTAATTGCTAAAGATCCCAAATGAGAATAACGGAGGAACATCAATGAGCAAATGCTTTTCTTCCTCCCCATTCACTATTGATGAATAGATTAGCCCAGCAGAAAGTCGAAGCGATGTGATGAAAAGTGAATGTTGTTCAAACAACATTAAACAACTGGAAAATTCATGAGTAGAGAGATTATCAATGAGTGCTTACGAGCAGTTCAATACTTTTGAGGCTAGATCTACATGAATTGCCTTTAAAATTTCTTGAAGCATTTTTCCTACATATTTAAAATTTAAGACACATTTGAAATAGCTTTCTTCACGTTGGTGTTGATAACACATATGAAGATGGATCGGGCGGCGGGGCAACATGAGCGTGAGAAATGCAATTAGGCCTATCATACTAGAGTGTACTGAGGATGATAACGAGTCTAGAAACAGCAGTGTCTTAAAACGAGGCAAAATATCTATTAAAAGTTCTAACCTTGACAGAGGACACATTTTTAGATCTTTTACTATTAAAAAGAAAAATTTGCTGCAAATTTATTTGAACGAAAAAAATGAAAGTCCAATCTAATAGGATAATATTCCGTCCATATATAGGGCCAATGTTGCAACAAGAAAAACCCAATACTTCATATCAACAAGATGATTTGATAACTTGCATGAGCCATAGCCAACAAAAAGAGATTTTGATACCTTGCTACAGCCACTACTACGCCAGCAGCTACAAGTAAGCAGCCAGCAATTTGATTTAATGAATACTTCCTACCCAGAAGAACAGTTGAGAAAGTCAGTTGCCACACCAAAAAAGTCTGCAACAGAGAGGATAAAAAGAAAGCCATTGTTACCGGATGATATGCAAACCATTCCAGTGACATTTTGGTTTTCTAAGAGATAATTTACTCTATTTTTTAAGTAATTAAAACAGAACAAGTCAGTAGAGTCTTATTTACAATTGCTTTTTCATGGTTTTTGCCTTGCAGATGTCAAAAAAACTTGACAGCACACTCATTCATTTCTATCTTCCAACATAGTTCATTAACAATCTAACAATCTGGGCACTCGTAAACCCAGATGGACATAACAAATTTCATAAGCACGTGTTCAAACAGGAGTTTCAGCTTAAATATCTTCACAAAATCAAAATACCTGGCTCAATATGGGTATGGCGGGTCCAGGGAGCATTGCTGCATAAGATATGAAGTTTCAGAATTCTAACTTGTTAGTTATTAAAAGCGCCATATAGACTTTTTCCCCTCAACAAACGCTTTTAATTTTCTTATACTTTACTTTGTGTAGCTGCACCGCCTTGTTTATCTTCTCAAAAGAAAAAGTAAAAAGTAATCTATCTTCTAAAGCTTTCTTTTTGGTTTTGTAGCAAGCACATTGAGTCCACTATCATGACTCTTCAAGGTAAATTACTGTCTTGGCCATTCAAGTTTCTCATGACTTTTGATCAGGACACTACAAATTCAAATCTTTTAATTCAGTTCACTGTAAGTCTAACATGGTTTTCATTGTGCAAACTCTGTCTCTCTTTCATCAAAAACCTAATGGAAGCTTGCACGGCATGGCACATGAATAAAAGTGCCACATTAAGCCTCAGTCTTGTGTCATGTCAGCTTCCTGTTATGTTTGTAACTGAAAAATGGAGCAACCTCAATCAATACTATTCCAAACGAAAAGTTTTGAAAATTGCAGTGCCTGAACAAAATTAGACCCGAGAATAAAATAAAAGCCTTTGGAATTTACCCTAGTTCTTTGGCAATGCTTAGTTGGATGAATCAAGACTAAATTTTTTTCCTTACTAGCAAGCATGAATGAGATCATTCTTCCTCTGCACGGTAGACCACGATAACACCCCTACCAGTTTTGCAGACTACCAACAAATTCCAACCTTTTGAAAAAACCGATAGAGCCACACAATTCGTCTAAATAATTACAGTCCTTCGCAAAGATGTCGTATAGTACCTCCGGCAGACATCCCAGTAACCACTCCCAGGGCTTCAAGCATTCCAATGGCCACAAACCGCGATTTGGGAAGTGCTAACATCTCGCCAGTAACTATCCCAGCTCGATAGCGGATGTAAAGAATCGAAAAATATATTGCCACATACCTGAGATTTACCAATAGGCACGTACATCATTGAAGGGTAGTAGGTTTTACGAATTGGTTGAGGAAAGCGAGAATGACGCGAACAAGAAGTTATGCTCAGCACAGCAGCTCTATGAACTGGCAGTGGCAATGTAGCGTTTGATGGATACCGTGGCCGTGAGATGATACAAGTAGTAGCAAAATGAAATCACTTCAAACACGAAAAAACACTATAAACTGAAGATATTCCATTTCAGAACTGGCGCGGGGCGAGAAAACTGACCCGAAGGTGGTGATCTGCGCGAGGAAGAAAGGATACTGCTTCATGGGGACGAGAGCGAGCTTGTAGAGCACGCGATTGGCGACGGCGAACGCGACGGTGACCGCCGCGGAGACAAGGATCGCCACCTTACCGTCGGGAGTCGCCGGAGGGGCGCCGCCGCCGCCGCCGGCGGAGGAGGAGCGGGGGGCTCGGAGCTCCGCCGCCGGGGCCCGTCGAAGGCGAGCGGCACTGCGGCGGCGGGTCTGGAGTGGCGGGAGCTCCGGGGAGGGAGGGAGGCCGCCGGGGAGGGGGACCGGCGACGTCGCGAGGAGAGGAGAACGGCGGCGGCGGCTCGAGCCGCGGAGGAGGCGAACGGGAGGCGGCGGGAACGACGCCGGAAGCGAGAATGCCATCAACGGCGGAGAAAGGGAGGGAGGAAGGGAGGGAGAGGGACGAAGGATTTGACCACAACGCTATTTAATGTCCAAAAGTCAATACCTTTTTTAAAAAAAAATTGACTCTCTGAGCTGTTGATCTGTTGTTGTAAGCTGTTTCATAATTTTTTAGGGATTGTTGACTGTTTATCTCAAAATTCTTTGTAACTTTATTTCCATCCCTGTTAATATCTTTCTTAATCACCCTTAAATTTAAAGTTGTTTAAAATAGCCCTCCCGATACTTTGTTGAGAGTAAGATTAATATCTTAAATATGGGAAAATGACCCAAACAGTCCGAAAATTTTAACTTAATGTTCAATGTAGTACTTAAATTTTTTTAATTTGCTTAATATTGTCTAAACTTTTGGTACATGTTCAATGTAGTTCCTATTTTAGAGACTACATTGAATAAATTAAAAGTTCATGGACTACATTGCACATTTGATCAAAATTCAGGGACTGTTGATATCATTATCCCCTAGAATATTTATCTACAATCTCTCTCTAAAGTTCAATTTCTAAGTAACTCCCTATCATTTATAATTCCGTGGTTTAAAGTTCTATTTTGAGTGGAGCTCTTTGGTTAAAGTCATAAGCTCAATATGATTGTAGTTTAGATTCAAGATATGTTAACTAACAAAGATTACTGATAAGGTTCTCAAGCTCATTACAAAAACTCTCACAAAATTCAGCCTTATTGCATTAACGAGTATGGAGGAAATGAACCTGGCACAAAATTGAACTGAAAATAACGCAAGGTGATGGAGTGATGAAAGGACGTTATTTTGACCAATACGAACAATATTGTATTTTCATAACAATGTGCGAGTTTTGCATTTTCAATAAATACCCACTTTCACCCTTTCCACCTAGTGACTTTCGTCAATTAGTTCTCTTGCGGTTATTTTCGCGAAATCGATAAATTAAGTTATGCTATATCCATTTAAAGTGTGGAAATAGAGGGATCTTTTTTTTTAATAGCAATGAAGTACCCTTTTTAATAACAATAAAAGGAAGAGGGATGATTCAACATGGCAACTGCTACACAAAGTTGACATACCTGTTGTAGCAGCCTCACCGGCGTTTTTTATGTCCAGAGGCATCTCTTCGCACGAATTGCCAAATGTCAAAGACATAAATCAATCATAAGTTTCGCTCCCACATGAATGATAATGTCTTTTCCTTTCAGAAAAATATTGCGCTTATATTAATTTAATGCATAGACCAGTCAACACCAGAAACGTAATGCTGATGTGGTAAATCTATGGTGTCCATTTACAGATTTTACTAATGAGCATGACCGAAAAAATAATACAATTCAAGGACCCAATTGCGAAAAATAAAAAACATCAAAAGCTATATTAAAAATTCACAAAATAAGAATCTAGATGTGCCTTGATCCCAATTTTAGGAAGAGCACTAAGGATTGTAAGTGCGTGATTGTCAAGCAACAAAAAAAGAAAAGGAAATTGAGAATTAAAATATAATCAAATTGTGGAGTGCAAATGTCAAGGAAAGAGATGGCAAAGCGAAAAAAAATTGCCATATGCTTTTGAGCAGCAATTATACAACTGTACAGTGATATAAACATGTATGACCAAACATCTCAAATTCCAACCCGCTCAATTCTCTCCCTTCAATCGTTTTACGGTCTGCGGCATTTATCTACACGACTAATCGAACCCCCGACCAGGTCTTTAACCGAACCCGAATCCTTCATTTGCTTCGTGAATTGCGAGCAGCAGCCTCTCCTCCAGGTGCTCTTTGGATGGATATTCGGGTAAATCCAACTGATTGAAGCTGTAAAATATCAAGAGATGATGTAAGCTTAGCTACCAACAAAAAGTCGCCTAGACCATTTCTACAAGTGCTCACACAAATCCAGAGCCAGGTATTAGACGTGCACATGTAGGAGAGGGTGCGCGCGCAGAGCCAGGTAATAGACGTGCACATGTAGGAGAGAGTGCGCGCGCGCGCACCCCAGAGAGAGAGAGAGAGAGAGAGAGAGCACTAAGTTGTCGAAGATTACCAAGTATGAGCTGAAGGCAAGTGATCAGGGCTTCCATAAGCCTTGTGGATCTGAAACTTTTGAGAGCCAGAAATTCCTTGAAGAGCGCTAAAGCCCTCCAACGGCACCTGCAATTGTGACAATGAATAACTATAGTCAGTTGAACTTACAAAAAGGGGAACTTTGCTTCTGCAGATTTGCTAGTGTCAGCATTCTTGCCTCCTAATCAGTCGACTCTCCTAAAAGAACAAAAAATTTGGTACACATCATATCTACGTAGAGAACAGCCTCAGGCAAACCCCAGCCTCCACAGGAAGAACAGCCATGGTTTGCTGGTTTGTGCTCATTCCTCAACAGTCATAAGGCTTTTTCAAATGGAAATACGTAAATTCCTGCTGATTCCAGATTTGCTTCAAGACTTATCACATATTACCCTTGATACATTCAAGATACACTTAGAAACCAGCTTTTGACCGTAGGAACACTTTGTTCACAGCATGAAAAATTAAAGCCACCGATGAAATAGCCTAGAACGATAATCCCACATGAGTGTACCAAAGCTGTGAATTTTGAACCCAACACTACGGAGATATAATGACAAACCATTCAGACTAAGAACAATAACATCTATAATGCTCACCAAGAAAAATAACATCTAACTTCACAAGATAAGAAGACCACGGGTACCTTTGAAGTGCCAGTAACAAATTGCAAGAGTCGAGCCTTATCTTCCTTGCTAAAACCTTGCACAACCTCCCAGAACCACTGAATCACAGGAGATGCAGCACTATAACCCGAGTACTCAGTATTTGCCCTCAAGTCGTCCACTGTAACAATCGATTTGAACTGTTAAAACACTTGATGAAAGTTTTAATTTATAATCTTTTACATTTCGTTAAACTTGATGCCAGTAAGAAAGGAAAGATGAAAAGAAGCCAATTCTGGAGGAAACATACAGTCAATATCGGGGAGCCCACTTATTAGTAACTCCAATTCCTTGTCGTTAAATATAGAGATTAGATCCTTAGGAATCAGTTCATTGAAGCCTTCCATAAAAGCATTAATCTGAGGACGAATAGCAGTCGTTAACCGATGCTCAGCAACCAAATCAACATATTGGTGCTTGTTCTCCTCCGTGACTTTAACATTCCGTCCATTTGGAATCAATTCATGATCAGTCACCTGCATTTAATAAAACATGAATTGAGATGCACATAAAACCACAAATTAATGGATTGTTGCCTGGAAGAGACATTACTTCTGTTCTCTCATATAATATCAACTTCTCCTCGTCAGCATCAATGCTAAATGTAAGGTCCAGTACATCAGTTATGTCATTCTGCAATACAAGGATGATCACATAAAAAAAGGTGGGAGAAAAACATCTACAGTTCTGATATTTGATGCACAAACAAAGATAAGAAGAGTGCGCCCAACCTCGAGCATCCACTTCAGGTTTTTAAAGTAGTCAGGATCAATTGCCTCAATGTCATGATAGGTAACCTTAGCCCCCAAGATGTGCTTATAGAAAGATCGAGTGAAATGGACATCCAAGAGCTGCCCATCAAAGAGAGCTTTGCCAACCTAAAAGCAAAAGAAATGGAGAAAATTAAACACTTGCTAAATCACCAATGAACACAAAGGGAGTGCATTAAATACTCACAACACGGCCAACAAATTTGAAGTATGAGAGATGCTCAGTTTGGTAAACAGAATTAGGATTTGGCTGAAACGTCGATTCATTTCCAACTGTTGTAAACAGCAGTGCCCCCTTGTCAAAAATGACCCTGGACAGCAACTGATACCACTCTCTCGTAAGTCCACCTGCATCAATACCTTCCTCTCCTTGGAAGTGAACAGTCAATCTCCCCTTCAAATCCTGAGTTGATCTCAAGCGCAATTGATTATATGAATCCTCAAGAATGTAAGCTCTTCTAACTGAAATTCTTAGAGGACTATGATGATGGTCGTGCTGATGCTTTATCTTTGATCTGAAATGAGCGCGTTTGTTGTCAAAATCAATGAAGCGCGGAACTTTCAACAAGAGAGAAAAGGACTTCTCAAGCAACCCAGGGTTTTGTCGAATGAAAGCATTCAACAGCTTCCTATGCCTCTCTGAGAACTTAACAAAAGCAACATGCTTTTCTTCAGCTCTGCCAGAAGTACACAGGGCTTTCTGCTGACCAGTACTTGTGCCAACATCATCAACCTCAGAAACTGCAGCGATCCCCAAGTCATGACCAGAACCTGTCTGCCCAGGATGCAGCTTTTCAGCCACCACGAAAAAAGATTCTATGTACGGCAAGATATTTTGAGTCCCAGCAGGAAGAGGAGTCATCATGCCTGACTGCACAGATTTCGAAATTTTTCCAGGAGCATGCAAATCCAGTGAAGATTCTGAATAAGTCTCGATCTTGCTTATACAAGCACTTAACTCTAGCCACAAAGGCTCTAAAGCAGAATTAATATCTGAGACTTGAGAAAGAGCAGTGGCATACTCCTCGGGAAGAGTCTGAATCTGTTGATCCTTCTCTTTGTCTCTCAGTGTGGCCACAAGGGAGCTTAACGCCTGCAGAACCCTTAAGATTGCAGCTCCTTCAGAAGAAGTTAAGCTGAGGAGTGATTTTATTGCTTCACCAAACACATGTAGCTCATTCATTGCCGATTTGGTCAAACTTTGAACAGCATTAGCCAACTCAGTTATAAACAGATGACAATGAGTTGGAGCAGCAACAACTAACTTCTTCACAACCTCTGCTACAAGACCGTAAGCATTATCTGACAACCTGCATTCAAAAAACAGAAATAGTTGCATTCTAGCAGTAAGGGATCATTGAAACGAGATTTTAACTCATCAAGCATATGCTTAAGAAGATAATAGTAACCCATAGACACCGTTAGAGGATGTGGCTTTGACGGTTAAAATAACTTTCAAAAACAAATCTAAATAACCTATATTGACTCCAAAGCTAAAAATAGTGCAACACGCTAATGGACCCCCCCTTCAGACCTCCACTAGGGAAAAGAACGCAGGCAGACAAAAAACAGAGAAGACAAAAATTGGAAAACAAAAATGTTCTAATCCCATATGAGCGATTTGGGAAAAAGTATACAAGAGAGACAGGTGATAAGACAACATCCAGAGCACCATACATGGTCATTCATTTAAATAAAGATTAATGCAGAAATTAAAGCAAATAAATGTAAAAACAAGCAGCTTCAACGATACCCTTCTTTTGCGAGCAATGAGCACAGAAGACGAAGTTCTGCTTGTGGCAAATTAGCAAGTACTGAGTGAGCATCGTTTTCATCTTTTTCAGCAGAAGTCGAAGGCTTCTCACTGTCGATTTTAACAGATGCGACACCAACTCCAGGTGACATGGCAACAGATTCAGTGTGTGTGGTATCCAAAGTAGGAACCTCAGGCACGGATGGAACTGTGCCAGATACCGCAGACTTCTCAGGTGAACTTTGTTTTCTCTCGGCATTATCAACGATGACCTCCAATAAACTTAACAGCTGTGCAGGATTAGAATGAACATTGTCAGATCCTTTAAATTGGAATGTGACAACATAAGAAGGATTAGCGTTTTTTTTTTAACTACAAAATGGACTACCTGTTCAAGATGTGCTATGCTCCTCAGATACAGAGGTTGATTCAAAAGCCTCAATAGCAACTCAATTGGCAAACACTCATCCTGATTCTGGCTCTCCTCTTCCATAACCATTACAGCTTTCCCACGTGACTGATCAGAACATTCAGGCTGGACTTGGTGAGACAATTTAAGCTGAAGTAAAATCTTTGCTACGAAGGGATGATTGCGAGCCAGGTAAGTCATGGTTTCAAGAACTCTCCGGGACACCAAAGGAGGGACTCCTACAACAACGAAGCCCGCATGAGTGAAACTAAAATATAATTGAGGCATCATTCCTATTGGTAAAGTGGCAACAGCAATTGCACCTTACAAATCAATCCAAAGAAGTATGGAAATGAGTTCCAGTGGAAGAAAAATATCTGCTAATAAATAAATTCCAACTAGTTGAATAGGAGAAAGATCAAAAAGAGAACCCACGAGAAGCTCATTAATGAAGTCCAAATGCATAGAAATAGAAAGAACCGAAACACGCGTTGGAAAAAAGCAATGAAACTTTTCATGCATGTTGGCACTGATGACATCTTAAAGCACGATCACAAGATAAATTTATGTATGGTTATATCCACAGAAAATTGATTATTAATAACTTAATAAGTGAAAGCAAAACTGCATAAGGAAAATGCCAAATTTCTCAGGGAAACCTAATCTACAGATTGTTAAGATATGTCACACAATCAATATGAAGCGCAAAAGTAAAACAAGAGCTACAGGAACGTAAGTATCAGAACCATTGTCCGGAAAAAAGAGGAAACAAACAAATCATTATCATCATGGATCAATTAATATATCAATTAACAGCACCAGAAAGGACACGACTAAGACTGGCTCACAGAAACTCAACATAAGATTATTACCGTCCAAAGACTGGGGACGAGAATACATCACGTTATTTTGACAAGCATAGAGACGGAATGATGGCTCAGCAGCATTCAGACCATCGATGGGCTTCCTGGTATCAAGCATCAGCATGCCCATGAGAATATTCACCAGCGCAGTTCTGGTATCACTATGAGCACATAGATTTAAGAGAAGCCGTTGGAGCTGTCCCTTATAGAGAGGCTACAAAAAAAAAAATACACAAGATTAGCATATATCAGGCAATATCAAGCAAAATTTATATTGAAAACAACATACCTGAACAACACGAAGCAAGCGAATCATTGATTGTAGAGCTTCTGTATCAACCAAAGGAGCTCCATCTGCTTCAACGAGCTTCGCTCCCAAAGACCTACGGGAACCAATAACTCCACCAATTCTCTCAATGCTGGATCCCGAACCTTCAGTTCGTCTAGATGACTCACCTCTACGGCTTCTAGGATACATACCAAAGAGAGTACGATTATGGTATCGATTGGCAAATCTCTCACGCAACATGTTTGCCTCAGCAACTAGCGCAGGAGTGAGGTTGGCAAGAATAGCATCAGATGACGTGAGAAGTACCTGCAGAGAATAATTAGATTAATCGAGATAGAATATAACTGGACAAGTTCCCTAACGCAGATTGTACTTACCTCTTCCCGCAAATCTGATGGAAATGTTGCAATGATTGATACTGTGTCCATTTCAACCGGTTGACCTTCCAGTTCTTGAGATTGATGAAGCCTTTGCGCTTGCTGTTGTGCTAAAACTTCTGCTCTAATGTCTGGGGGAAGGGCTGCCAGAAACTCTGGGTCAATATCTCCTGTATTCTGTGGTTCAGCACTTGCAGGTTGAGCAACTTGGCCTTGCTGAGCTGAAAGAACTTCAGCCCGCAACTCCTCAGGAAGAGCATCCAAAAATGCAGGATCTATAGAACCAGAAACAGCATCACTGTTAATTTGTTGCTCTGTCGATGGACCATCATGCTCTGCCTCTTGGCTATTTTCTGGAACTTCTGTCACACGATCAAGTGATGTCTCTCTAGTTGATGCAGTTGCAGAATTTCCAATAGACACATTGGTTCTTCTAGAGCGAGCAGTCTGTGGATCACCCAAAGCAATCCTATCAGCACCACCTTGCCTCTCACCACCATCGTCCTGGCCATCTGCACTTCCAATTTCAACATCCAAGCTTCGCAGACTTTCCCCAAGAGTTGCACCACTTCCACCACTTTCCTGGCTTACTGCTTCAACATCCCGAACAATGGCATCACTGTGTTCAAACTGCATCTCAACAGGCTGAGCCCGAGTAGCAGAAGCATCAGGTTCTTGCATCGATTCACCACGCGCATTTCCCATATCAGCATTTTCAGAGCCTTCAGTCATTTCGGTTGGGGGTACATCCCCATGTTCATCATTAGCATTGCCTTCGACAGCAACCTCTGGCCTGACACCTTCAGATTCCTGCTGCCGAGTAACTTCACCTCCATGTTGAAGCTCCGCAGCCGTGTTCTGTTCAGAGGGATTTTCAGCCGTTGGCCTTCTCAACTGGGAAACAAGCAACTCTTCTAGACCTTGTGGAATCATAGCTGCACCTGACCCACTTGTTTGCTGGTTCTCATCTACCCAGAGGTTCAAACGGTGTCCATGACGTCCACTTCTCAGTGACCGGAAAACAGAATCCAGCCGCGTCGAGGCACCCTCAATGTTCCTATCAGAGAAAACTATATCGGCCACACTTTCTGAGGAACAATAGCGAATTGTCAGAGGCATACAATGTAGACTTCCAATAAGACACTGTAGTGAAAGCATATAAAACAGCTGGAATAAAGTCTCTCCTTGTTATATCAAAATAAAAAATAGAAAATCTACAGTAAATTGAGAAGCTACAATAAAGTTGCCCACCTGAATGTCTCTGAGATGATAAGTGAACTGAGGAGGTTGGTCTAGTTAAAAGAGGATGCCTGGAGGGAGCTGCAGTGCTACCACTCCTACCCAAAAGATTATAAATAGATGTGGTACGCCCATGACGTCTCGAACCAAAAACTTCCACTGGCATCAAGTGCAGAGTTTCATTGGGAAAAGTATGATTTCTTCCAAGAACCTCAATATGATCAAATACGTTAATTCCATTAATCCCTTCTTCAAGCCTAAGTATAACACCGTCTTCATCATCCTCGTCATCTTCATCATCTTCCTCCGGGACCTCCTCATCAAAATCATCATCATCATCCATATCATGTTCATCTTGATCTGTATCAGGATGTGGAAGATGATGCACTTCATCTTCCTCCAGATCATTATGATCCTCGTCATCCTCATCATCATCTTCATCAACTTCATCCCCATCATCACCCGACATCTCCTCATCGTCATCGTCGTCATCATCTTCGTCAATATTTTCTTGCACATGAGGCTGGATTTCAAATCTTATGCCAACGGTATCGATGCCATTTTCAAGACCCCTAGCTTCTTCAGAAGATTCATGCATGTAGTCATCCTCACTACCGGGAGCAGAACCTTCATCAAGATCCTGATCATGCTCCATATCATCTGTCACAGCCTCAGAACCCCCAAAAGTCTGGAGAGTATTGCTATGATCAGCATTCTCCGCAGCCAGAGACTCGTGATTTGATTGAAATGCTGCTTCCATGGACTCGGATGCCACACCATTGTTATCTGCTTGACCAGACTGATTGGCATCAGAAGCTTTGGGTGAACTTTCATCCTTCCCTGTGGTAGGATCAACAGAATGAACATGCTCCTTGCTTACAAGCTCAAGAGCTTTTACAAGCCCCGTGACAACTTTAGGGGAGTCAGTGTGATCTAGGTCCAAAACCTTGAGAAATCGTGTCAGTGATTTGACAAGACCAACATCAACAAAAGTAACAGAGGCTTCCGCTGAAATATAAGAGCCAGTAGGTGAACGCGCAGCCAGGACATCATTAAGAAGATCGACAAAAACCTGCATCTCACTGCCTGTTGATCTACAATCTTTAGATGTATCGACAAAATCATTGAAAATATAGGTGATCTCTGTAAAGACCCTCCTTCTTGCCTCCGCAGAGCGAACACAAGACGCCACCAAAAACTGGTTGGCCCTGGATGACAGTTTATGCCTCCAATCTCCATCAATCTTCTTATCTTTCTTGGAGGTTTTAGCACATGGAAGAAACTTGCGGAGAACGTGATTATATATTCCTCCACCACAAACTTTCTGATGAGGACCCCCGCAGCTGCTTAGATCAGCATCTTTTCGAAGCAGAACTTGAACAGAAGTAGGATACATCAAAAGAATCTCAGTCATAAGCTTCAAAACGAATACAACTTTAGCAATTGACACTGATGCTTCGACATTAGAACCTTCAGACTCGTCCACTGCATTGACGACGGCTTTTCCTTTACCCTTGACAGCCGCAACGTCAATATTCATGTCACTTGATGATGGGGCACTCTGGGTCCCTTCATCTTGCAAGGGAGGTTCAAAAGTACAAATCAACTTCAATAGAAGTTCAATCACGCTTACGAAGCTCTGAGGATATCTGCGATGAGCCTTTGCACTCTTAGAGTTTGAATCAGGAAGTTTGCCCGCTCCATTACCCTGAGTCACTGAACTCACATTACCCAAGGATAGCTTCCCATCATTAGCATGTGGCTTCTCTTTCTCCTTCTCCCTTTCTTTTTCTTTGCTCTTGTCTTTGTCACGATCCTTCAGCAAGACAACGTATGGCCTTTCACCTACCATCTCAACTTGGCACACAGCTTGAACTGCCTGCATGAAAACAACTGGATCCCGTGAAATGACAGAAGTCAAATTTAGCAGGAAGTTGCGGGCAGTGACCCTTCCATTGGAATGCCTATTAGCAGCGGCCATTAGGCTGTGTCTTATCTCAGATTCCATTGCTTGCTGCAGCGTTTGAGGATCTTCGAGCACATGACAGATGATTGTGGCAGCAACATTGTCAAAGCCCGGGAAGAGGCTATGTGTAGGCAAAGAAAAGAGCAAATTCAAACCCCCAGCATCCATAAAGCTCACTGCAACTGAATGGGTTCTGGTAAGAGTAGCACATAGCTGCAGAACAGCGTGCGTAGTCTCAGATGGTAGCTGATTTCTAATGTAACTGCAAGCAATTTCAATCAGTCTCTTCTGGTCATGGATATCTACATGCTTAGCTGCTAATCCCAGTGCAGGCGACAATTTGCTTTTCTTATCCTCATCGATAGAGATAGAAGCCTGCTGGAAGCTCACATCATCCTTCTTTAACTGATCCAAAATTTCCGTACTTAACTTATTATCCACCTGCAACAGCCTATCAACAGCGAGAAAAGCTGCTGTTACCCACTTAGGAACCTGACGTTTCTCCTTGTCTTCTGGAACAGAACACCAGGTGTCAAGTAGATTTGATGCAAGCTCTACCAACCCATTTGTTAAAGCAATTTCCCGGGCTGCAACATCCTCATGAAGAATTAAAGCAAGAACATGGAAAAGTGAGGAAAGGAGGGTATTATGTCCGCTGTCAGAGACTGAACCACAATTCTTCAGCTGGTCAATGACAAAAGAGACGATGCTGGACCTGTATTGCCCCTCATTCTGGGAAGAAATCGTCATAAGCAAGTCATGAACTGGAAAAGCAAGTGATTCTTTCATCTGAAGAAGCTTCACACAAGTTGATAGCAACTCCTCCACAGCAGGAAGATGAACCGTCTCTGCTTCAAGCTGCCGCGCACTATCGCTCGATGCATCTTCCTTTGTGTCTGATTCAGAGTTTCCCAGGGACATGGCAAGTGCGCGAGCAAGTTCATCATCTTCCTGTGCTTCCTCTGGATGAGAAAATAACCACTCCATTGCCAGCTCCACACTATTTGATCCCACTTGCCTTAAAGCTTCTTCCGCCCTTGACCGAGAAAATCCCATCTCCACAATGGTTGTGATAGTGCTTTCACTAGGTGGTGGACCACTAATACGAGAATTGGCACTGCTATTTACATTTTTCACTTCAACTCCCGAAAAAATGTGTCTAATGATAGAAATGACAGTTGCCAAAAAATCATTACTGCAATCAGTAAACTGAGGGTGAGTCCATACAGGAAGAACAGCCTTCAGAACCATAGAATGAAGCACCTTTACAAAAGTCTCAGCGTCCCGTGGAAAAGGAACATCGCCACTTGCCAAAGGTTGAGTGAGCAAGTGCTTGGTAAAAGGAGACAATATAGACGATGAGGTCACCAGGTGGTCCATAAGTTTACCATTGCTAGCTAGAGGACCATAGATCCATAAGTTCTCTGTATCTTCCTTTTCCTGTTTCACATTTCCATCATCAGTCTCCATGGGAGAAGCAGGAGCCTTATTAACAGCAAAGAGCAATTGGCTGGTAGCCTCAAATGTGGTCAAGACCGATTGAATCACCCCATGTCCATACAAGCAGTTTAGTAGGACTGGATTACAAGAGTCTTGCCTGTCCATCAGAATCCCATCGATGAAATCAATGACCTTACCAAAGTAGCGGCATTTGGTCGATACACTTGATACAGAAGACTCTGATCCAGAGGGATTTACACGACTCCCAAAGTTTATATGATCCAATGAAATTGACGCAAAGGTTGATGCCACTACCTTCGAAGATGGGGTTACATTCACCGTATCCTCCCGTCGCCGAGAAGGAAGTAACATCACTTTCCCCAACTCTTGAAACAGATGAGTTATGTGAAAGGAGAGTGACCTCACCATGTCACAGCAAGAAGCATAGTAGGACCTTTGTTTGTCAAGCTCCTTTTTACCGGCAGAATCTAAAGAATCAGAATGATGTGTCTGATTGGTAGATCCAGTACGGAGGCTTGTAGGTCCATCAGTGCTGATTCTTTGATGAAAGCTAGTAGCACGACCGAGATCACGATACAAGTTTATGAGGTCAAAAAACTGAGATTCCATGCTCCATCCTGAAGACCTCCGCCTGAACAACGGATCAAGGAACTGCCTAAAGGAATTAAACCGCTGCTCTTCAGTTTCATTTGAATTGATTTCTGATTGATGCAACTCAGTGGAAGTTCCCGCAGTTTCCTCCATTTCCAGTTTGGCATCTTCAAGCAGAGAAATCTGCCACATAACTTCACGGTGTACACGTCCAATGTCTTCCAGAACATCTTTGCTACCGTTGGCAAATTCTGTCAGCAATGCAGTAACCCAGCGGTTGTCTTTAGAGGCAGCAAGAAATAAAAGGAACTCAACAAGGGAAAGCGATGAAAATACACCCTCATCTAGGCTCATCCTGGGATCAAGCAAAAATGATCCAGAAACGGCTGAAAAACCAGCCAAAGCTTTCTTCAGATGTTCCCTCAGAGCAGAACAGAAGGCTCGAGCAAGTGGCGCGGAATGATGTTGAGTAAAACCCTTGAAAACCATGGTGCTATGCAAGGCAATGGACATCCCCTCAGATGACTGGGCAATGCTAGGCTGTAACAAAAGCTTTAACAATGCATCTATGCCAGACTTCTCCACAAATAACCGGCACGTTTCAGAATTTTCCATTGTTCTATGAACCAAGACCATCAAGTGAAAGACACATAATTGGATGAACTGCTCATCACTGATGCCTTCAGCAGCCAAATCGACCGAACCAACCAGACAGCAAGCACCATCATTTTCCTTGTACTCAGCATCCATATCCATTGCAGCAGTCCCACTTAGTTTTCCTGAAGGTCCTGAGCAAGAGCTCTCCCTCGAAGAGGAAATTTTATCAACAATTTCAATGATTATGTCAACACCATCACTTCTCAATGATGATACATGGCGCAAAAGCTCTTCCACAGCATTTGCCAAAGGAACGATGGCTTCATTCATAGCAACAACATATTTCTTACTGGTAAATATGTCAACCAGGAACCGTAGTGCGGAAGTTTCTTTCACTGCATCAACACCTTTGGTATTAAGACAGATTGCGCCAAGACCATTAGGAATACATGTGAGAGCCTTAGCAGATGGTATAACTCCAGCAACAACTGAAGATATAAATGAATCCGGAAGACCCATCTCAAATAAAGTGGACAAGCAAGTAGGATCTTTGTGGATAATCTCACTCATTAGCGTCACAGCTGAGTGATAAATGTCACCACCAAACTTTTCTACCTTTCCGAATATATGCGAAAGTGTGGCAGCAAGAGAAGTGTCCTGCGTGTTCTGGGATCTACTGGGGTTTGTAGGTGAGTATGTAGCAGATCCAAGGGCCTTCAATAAAACCTTGATGAGCCTTTTCTGTGTGTTCAACAGGTCATCGCTGTTTCTTGAGCATTCACCAACGACCGCGGACTCATCATTTCCTCCCGTTAAGCCAATTACTCTAGTAACTTCCAGTTGTAATCTCTGCACCAATAGCTCAACTCCCCCGAGTTCCCTGAAATGAGATACCGCTGAACTACTATAGTCCATGAGCTTTTGAATTGTCTTCACAGCTAAGCAGACAAGATGCATATGGCTAGGATATGAATCTTCCAAAAGTGGTAAGAATGTTGGAAGCATCCCCCAACCTCTGATATTGTTACCTTGAGTTGAGGATGAAACTATGTTGAGCATATAAAACTGAAGAAGTGCTTCAACAAAGGCAAGAGATGATGGATCACTGGAGCTATTTAGAGATAAGACAGCCTTCTGGAGCACATTAAGGAGAATTGTACGGTGGGTTGCTGTAAAACTAAGACTTGATCCGCTCAAAATCCGTGCACGTTCATGAGATGATATGTATGCAGCTAACTGAGCTCCCAAAGCAAGCATTGCAAGCGTTCTAATGGTTCCAGGAATAGATTCTTCAGAACGCACAATCCTAATAAGCTCGTTTGTATACTCTGGCTCATTAGCAAAGAATGACGCAAGCTCGTCATGTGCATCATTAGATTGAACTAACACAATGAAAGCTAGAAGGCAAATTCTACTATATAGCCTGCACGTTCTGGCAGAGCGAAAGGCATGAGCATATCTGATTCTAGTAAGCAATGCAAATCGGAGATCGGGAGGTACATCGTACTGCTGAAGGCATTGTTTCATAAGGACAAGATCATCCTCCTTTCTCAAATGTAGATCTGGAATATGTACAACTCTGGAACTAGAATCGGGTGTGTGACTGCTAGTTCCCTCACTTTGGGAATAGACACCATTTAGCTCAAAATAGAGGGTGGAGCCCAGCCGATATTGAGACTTGTCATATTCGTTATCCGCTTCTGATGGAAATAAACAGAGTCCTTCCTCTTGCAATCTCTCATTTGCTACAACACACGAATATAAACCCAAGCCCTCTTCTTTGCTGCCCCACCCCTGTGCCAGAGATAGGAGAAAGCCATTTACCGAGCCACATCCAACTGACTTTCCACTGCCATGGAGCTTAGATGGATTTATTTTTACAAGTGCAGATAAAGTCTCTAATGTGGCTATCAGGATTTCAGGATCAGTTGATGAGAGTAGGAGCTTGAAGTGCTGCATGAATATGACTCATGTTATGTTGCCGAAAAACAGTAGCAGATTATCACAACTTGAGACAGAAAATCATGTCACGTAATCAAATTTGAGGATTGTTTACCTCTAATCCCTCAAACGAATTTTTGTTGTGACAGTTCTCTAGTATTATTTGCATCACTCGCAAAATCTGTAAAACTGCAAGTTTTGGAAAAGGACTTTCATCTTCTCCAATCTTATCCGACAAAAGGAGGTCATTCCTACATGACAGATAAGTCTTGAAATATGTGTCAAAATGGAGAAACAGCGGCCTCCAATGATGGAAATTTCCCTGATATTACAAACAAATCAATGCAAAGCCCAATAGTTAGCACAGAAAGATCATTCCACGAGCAGAAAAACTTGTTTTGATTACTGCAAGGAAAAAAAAAACCATGTATCACCTTATCATACTCCCAATTAAAACCAGAAAGGGGAATTGCTATATCTTGAAGTGGACTTTGGATGACTTTGTCAATGAATGATTTGACCTTGGGAGGCTGCAAGCCACAAAAGTAATAATATTATACATACTATGACAAGAATAATAGAAACAATACTTTCCTCTCCATGGGACAAATGTTTAGTGGGGAAATCACGAAATTGAAGAGGAAGAGGGCAAGGTAGCAAGAAAAAATAGCATAATAGGCGCCTAATTCAACAAGGCCACCCACACAAGCAGTGAGTCATAAGTTTGAAAAGATAACTTTCAGCAAATTCAAGTCATCCATTCCAACGTATCTAATCCCTTCCTTTCCCCACTTGCCTCTTCTATGCAGGCAAAGTTCTAACTCATCCATTACTTAATGTAAAATTCATTGAATTTTGTCTCCCAGTAATCACAAAGGAACTTGCGAACAACGTTGTCAAGATTGGGATCCTACGTAGGCTCATTTGGAGGTCTTCGAGTATCGAATCGTACCCTACAAATTTGTTGAATTGACTTCTAAAATATGAAATTCTTACTTAAATAAGTGCAATTAGATGCGTATTAACCTTAAAAAGAGGGAAGCTCAAAGGTAGAGTCCCTCATGCGAGAGAACACTTAGGTTTAAATTCTTGCTTGCCGATTTTCAACTAACAAGTGAAGCACCCGGTCAAAAAAATCAAGAAAATGTAACAGCATAAAATCTCCTTGTCCTAGTTCTTCTCTTCTCTCTTGTGAGGCAAATACCTTCTCTTTCTTTATTTTACAGGATAAAATATTATTAACATCAAAGTCGGACCCACACTCTCTGATTTACCTCTCCCATAGGACATAACAAAACCTCACTTTCACTCACTATTCTAGGGTTTTCAGCTCTTTGGAGTTTAGCTGACGTTCCAATCAGTACACATCCGAAGAAACTACGCTACTTGGCCAAGTCAAATCTGGTGACGATTTCTTAAGGATGTTCCAGAGGTAATCGCTCTCATCTATTTGCATAAGGACAGAAGCTTCTTCCCTCTCGTCTCCAACGGATAGTACAGTTCAGAGAGCCAGAGAGGTGGCCGGTGATCCATCTCATCGACTCAAGACTGAAGAAGAATAAGATGACGTATCTGCCTCTGCTTCATTTTCTACAGTTCGTTCATCTCATCCCTTTTACTTCATTCTTCAAGCCGCATATTCTCCAAATGAGGCCTGAAAACATTATACAGGAAGAAAGTGGCCCATGGGCTTGGGGAAAGGAGGCCCAATTTCATGTTTGCTCCTGCTGAAAAGGAAGAATTGCCTGGATCGGTGGAATTGTATGTGGGATCGTGATCCTACTTGATTCTTACGATCTGGATCATGATCCCATCACGATCCAAGCAGACGATTTTCCTATGATCTGGATCGTTCAGAGGTTTTTAAGTCATAGGATCAACAATCCTACATCCCAAAAACGCGATCCTAACAACCATACTTGCGAAACAGATTCAGGAATTTGACCTTTTCTTTTATAGGAACTGTTCTCTCCAACAACTCTAATATAGATTTCCTACAAACAACAGAGAGTTGTCAAGGTCTAATTGCATCTACATAATGATGCTAGAACTATTGAACAGGAGTATTAAGCCCACAAGAACCCTACTAATGCAATTCAACAAATTGCCTGGGAAAAGATAAATAACGGTGCTGTCCATCGCTAGAAATAGAGGCTAGAAAGACAATCAAGACATCTGTTGTAATATTTATTGGGTAGGAAGCAACCATAGAAAAGGTGACCCTAACTACAAGTAAAGGCTAGCAAGACGAATAAACCAAGTATTGCATTATTCGTTGAGTGGAATACGGTGCATATTTACTAAGCCAGTATCACAAAAGCAGGTAGCAAAATAATCGAAAAGAAAATAAATCTTTGCAAGCACACATCAAACAGCGCCAAATCCACATATTTGGCTTTGTTTCTCAGAAAGGCAAATATTAATAATCTAGACTCGTGCTAGTACTGTGTTCGATTAACTCATAATTATCCAACTTTGATGATGTTTGATAAAATTTCAAATCATTAGTGTGGTAAGTAAGGCAGTGGTCCATCACCAGTCAGCGGTCCAAACTGGCAATCACGTGAGAATGAAGAAATTCCTAGTTCTCGCTAACACAATTCATAGCCCATGAAAGATGCTGAGTTATCTACAAGGAAAACTATTGAAAAAGGCACTAATGCAGTATGTCCAGAGTAGGAGACAAAATGAAGCGATAAATGCATCGATCACATATATAACAAGAGATCTAGCACATCTAAACCGCTGTGGGTTAATCAACTATGGTGCAAGATGAACTAGAAAAGAAGCGCCTTTCAAGATTTTCGATAGAGGTGATAGATTGACATTCAACAAGCTGAAATTACGTCCTGGACTCCTTAATTTAGTTCTATTCTTAACAGTTTAGAAATGGGTTCTTGTTGGTGCTTCACAGAGTATGAATGCGCAAAAGGGTAACTTGCTGGACATGAGCCAATTTTAAGATGTCTCGCTATCCATTACTTTGTCCTATTCACTTCAGATATCTCCTTTGTGCAAATAATCACCAACCATATGATACGACATAAAAAAGGCTACATTACTTGATGAAAATGACAGCTTACAAGCAGGCACAGAACAAATACCTGTGCTCACAGAAAAGATACATACCCTAAATCTTATGCCCATATACATACCGCTAATGAGCAAATATAATAACAATTACACAACCTGCGTAAACCTATTCTAAGTGCAACTGGCTTTAATTACCACCAGTAATTAAAATAATGAAGAAACCGGTCTATACAATCCGACTGAAGTTTGGTTCTTGGGTTACACGAGCATCTTCTCTTTGGTATAGCATGAATGAAAAACATATGAATCACACACAAATTCACCCAGATAAAGTACAATGATACACTACTCGTTAGAAAAGAAAATATGGACAGGTTGCGAGGGTTAGTCTGTGACGGTCTGCTTCCTGGAAATTGCTCATAGGCCTTATACAGCAAAGTACAAATCACAAGATTTTATGCCCTAAATCCCAAGAAATCTTTTCAACTACAATGTTAAGGACAAGTTTTTTTCAACAGAAAATTTTACGCATTTTCTGTTAAATTTTTCAGAGTTACGTGTTCAAAATTTATACTTTTCTTCATAATTATATTTTCAAATAATTTTAGCTCTCGTTTAGTCGGAGTCGGAGATAAGAAATTCTAAAAGCTCATATCGACACCCAGTAGTTTCTATCCAAACAGATTTTGGTCGTTTTTGAAGTTTTGCAGAATACTATAGGATCCGAAACACAAAAATGGTCCAAAAAAACGAGCTTTCCGGAAGAAACTTTTATATCCGCACGATTGATACTGGCGAAAGTGCATTTCTGTCAATAGGGTGCCAAACAGAAAAATAGCTCCTCCATCTAATGACTTTCTGAGGGCCTTCTCCACGCCAAGCAATGTTTTTCGTTTGTATAACGTCCAGTTAGGGAAAAATGACGACATGGCCACAGAGCCAGAACCCTATAAGAACCTCAAACACCCAAAATGAAGCACCAACACCACCAATACCAGCATCAAACCAGCCAAAGGAAAATGACTAATATAGAGCCCACTTCAGGTGCCAACACAAGGCGTGGGACAATCAGAGAACACCCTATTTCCACTGGTCAACAACACATAACGAACAAACACGAACAAATTCGGGAGGGTGGATACAAAGCCGCGCGAGCGAAGGAACAAACAAGAAGCGAAGCGAAGCAACAACCTCGCCCTCGCCCGCGCGCTCGCACAGGGCGAAAACCCCCCACGAGAGAAGGAGGGACGATTCGGAGGGGGAAAAAGAGGTGGGGGGGGGGGGGGGGACTCACGGTGTCGGAATCGGTCCTGACGGAGGGGCCGATGGCGGTCTCGCCGGACAGGAGCTGCCGGAGCCTCGAGGGCAAGCTCGATCTCAGGGAGGCCATCTCGCCTCGACGAGTCTCTCTACTCGCAGCTAGCTGCAAAACCCGAACAAGAAAAAAGGAAAAAGAGGAGACGGAAAAAGTAAGGCGCCAAGCCAACAACCGGGCAGGAATCACCGGGGACGGCGGCGATCAGGAATCGAATCCCTAATCGACGCCGCCCACCGCACAGATCAGCGCGCGCACCGGCTTAGAGAGAGAGAGAGAGAGAGAGAGAGAGAGAGAGAGAGGGGGGACCTGAGAGAGGAGAGGGAAGGCGGATGCGTGCGCACATCCGAAGCTTTGACTGTACACACACGGCGGCGGCGGCGGCGGCGGCAGCAGCAGGAGGAGGAGGAAGAGGAAGAGAGAAGAGAGATGGCGGAGAGAGAGAGAGAGAGAGATGGCGAAACCCCAAAGCGAAGGGGAGTCTCTTCGAGGTTGCGTTTTCGTGTCTAAGTGTGCGCGAGGTCGGGGGGAGTAGTCGTCGACTCCCGTTTCGCTTCGGTTTTTATTTGGGTCGCCGATTTCTCGCTCAATTCCCCCCCCCGCGGAAGGGTTAAAGAAATGATAGCGGCCGATAGAACCCGGGTCGGGTCGGGTCGATCCGGATCGAATCGGGTCGGATCTCCGTCCCCGCCCGCATCTTCTCTTTTTTTTTTTCTTTTTTCCCCCGATTCATCTTTTTCCACGACACGCTCTTCCTCCTCCTCCTCCTCCTCCGTGCTCCTTCGTCACGAAAAGCAAGTCGGTTTCAATAGGAAGTTTCGGTCTTTTTCCGTTTGAATTTCCTCTCCTTTTTCCCTCTCTCTCTCTCTCCCTCTCTCTCTCTCTACGTAAAGAAATGACCATGTGTTTTTATGATTGGGGAATAGGACGTGTGGAGGACACCGCGGGGATTTGTTTAATTTAACGACGCGACGCGCGCTTCAGTGGGTATCCTCGATCGGGGTCCGGTAACGACGGTATCCGTCGCACGAACGCCGGCCGTCGCGCCGGAGGTTTTCCCCGGGGGGCATCGTCTCTCCTCGACGTTGTTGTTGCCGTAATGACTTGTCAGAGCACGTCCCTTATTCATACATGAAATGGTATACATGTCGCGAATTAGCTAGAAGAGAAAATGATCATCGAGCGATTTCGAAATAATGCTTAATTGGCACTCCATTCACGCCATCCGTGCGGGTTCCTTACATTTCAACGGTCGCCGTTATTCTCGAGAAAAGGGCAACCAAAGCCCCGAGCAGCACCGAAGCGGGCCCGTCCGCCTTGGACGAACGCGAGGACGAGTTACTCTAGGAAAGGCGCTCTCGTAGATGGCCAAGAGGTCGCCCAAGTTTGTCGGGCCACCGAACGAAGACTTTCACGTGCGAACTAAAGCCGACGGAAAATTTGCTCTTTTCGGAATATGATGCTAAAAAAAACGATGGATCATGGCGAGATATAATATGATTTTAGGAACAATAATAATAACAAAGTTTTACATGGAGATAAAGTTTAAAATGGAGGGAGTGGAAGGTGGTTGCCTACATCATAAGTTTAAAAAGGTGATTTCACCATGAATATTGATAAGATGATTACTTCCAAAACAGGGTCAATGATCTTTTAGGAGTTGTTCTCTAGTTCAAACCTAAAAGAAAGAAGAAGAAGAAGAAATCGCAATAAGGCACGTTTAATCAAGGTGTAATCATTAATAGCAATCGAATTCAAACTAATTTCATCCATCTCTAGTACTTCCTAGGCTAGGTTTAAGGAATCCCAATCGACCTAAGACCTAAGTTTCAAGACGAGATTCTACCAACCGCGCAATTTGAGGGCTCAACCAAATGCTAATTCTTGTAAAAATAAGTTGGATTGGAAATGTTAGACCGATCGACATTGTTTTTAGACTTTTATCATCCGTATCGAGGAAAGAAAATGGGGATAATTACTCAATCAGTCTTGAACCTGTTGTACGTATACCAATTCAGTTCTGAACTTTCTAATTTTGCGAATGCAATCGTAAACCTTCGCGCAACATTCTAAAGTTGTCTTTGTGGTCAATTGCTATTGGAGATGCTATCGGATATCATTGACGTGGCGTCTAGTTATCTCCGATCGTCTAACGTGACGTGCTATCGTGGGCAAGTATATTCACACCACGCTAGCAATTTTCGGCGGCAATTGATCGAAAGAACTACGTTGGAATTTTGCACAAAGGTTTAGGACTGCATTGATAAATTAAAAAAGTTAAGGGAAAATGCCACCAAAAATCCTAAATTATGCCACTTGTGACAGATTTACCCCGAACTTTTTTTTGTGACACGAAAAACCCCAAACTATGCCACTGGTGATAAATTTACCCTGAATTTTTTTTTGTGACACGAAAAATTCCAAGCTATGCCATCAGTGACACATTTACCCCACATTACTTTGGCCCATGGGCATTTTCGTCTTTTTCCTTTTTCTATTTTTTTTTTCTTTTCTTCTCTCCGGCGGAGGAAGCTGGCGAGGGCTGGCCTCGCCAAATCTGACCCTCGCCAACGTCGGGCGAGGGCCGCCCTCGCCTTTTTTTTTATGTTAACTATATCCTTTTTTTTATCTTCCGTTTTCTAATGCAAGGTTATTTTTGCAAAGTTAGCTTAAATATATAGATAAGAGACAGTACCGCTAGTCAAAATCATGGAAAATTATCCAAAAAATCGTAAACTTATTACACTTTTGCCAATTCGATCTTAAGCCTCTTAATTGTGTCAATTTTTTTTTTGTCTGAATAGTTTTACATTTTGTCAATTGAGTCTATTCGATCAATTTTGGCTAGAAATTGCTGACGTAGATGCCGGCTATCCTACGTGGCATGGCTTGTAGTGACATGAACAGCTTTTCATAATATTTTAATATGTTTCAAATTTTTATTAATTTTTTTCTTTTCTTCTCCTTTCCTTATTTACTTTTTCCTTTTTCCCTGGGTGGCCCCCGAGGCCGGTTGAGGGAAAAAGGGAAAAAGAAAAAAAGAAGAGAAGAGAAAAGGAGAAAACAAAAGAAAAAAATAAAGAAGGAAAAAAGAAGAAAAGGAAAAATTAATAAAAAATTCTAAAAATATTAAAAATTATCTATATCAGGGTCAGCCATACTACATAAGACTCCCGATGTCCACGATTTTGGCTGAGTGGACTCAATTGGCAAAATGTGAAAATATTTATGATTTAATTAACACAATTAAAAGGTTTAGAACTGAATTGGTAAAAATGTAATTGGTTTATGACTTTTTGAACAATTTTCCCTCAAAATTGCTGATTAAGTTTCACATATTACTTTCATTGTTAATTTTAATTTGGGACAAGTGGATCGAAAGTTCAAAAACTTGTTAAAAAAATACAATTGGGTTTTAAAACTTGTCCGGTAAGTGCAATTAAGTGTATATCTGTTACTTCGGCAAACTTGATTGATAGAAACAGCCAACATAGCATTATTAATGTTTTTCAAGGGCAAATGACAGCTGATGTGGTGCCATGTCAAAAAAGATTAAAAGGAAAAGGAAAAACTAAAAAAAGCCCAAAAAACAAAAAACAAAAACAAAATTGGACCAGAGGGAGAAAGAGGGAGAGATTGCATAATGGTCAGGGGTTCCTAAGGAGCGCCACCGCAGTTTCGACTTCGCCGGCTATTGGCGAGGGTCGGCCGACGCTCTCGTGGACGTTGCGGTCGGATTGGAGAAGCTCATGTTGGAGAGGCGCCGTTGTGGCGCCATTGGGGCTTGCAACTTCCGGAAGTTGTGAATTAAAATTGTTGCTGTTCCAATTGGTACTGCAAAATTGTTGTCCATTCTCTAGCTCTCCGCTTGGGAATGGAGGATCTTCCACACGCGAAAGGGGTCGCAAGGAGGATGATCCTACCGTTCGACCCTTTCGATTCAAAAATCTAGACGAGAGATACCCTCACATGGAGGTCGCGAGGGCCGGCGGACCCTCACGCGGCGGTGGCGATAGATGGTGCCGCCAACTCGCCAGAGGCAAGGTGTTCTTGTGTTGAAGTTGCGGCGGCGGCGGCGGCGCCTCGACTTCGTCGACGACACTCGCCCGGCCAAGCCTCAGATATGGGCATTTTGGTACAATTTGATTTGGCAGAGTTCTGCAATTGGGTGTTGAGGGGCTCCGCAATTGGGTGATAGTGGTATCCACGCAAGCGCTGGTCGACCCGCACAGGCCTCTCTCCTTTAAAGTGAGAAAGGCGATGGTGCCCCTTCGACACCCCAACCATCTACAATGTCTCTCTCTCTCTCCTCTTGGATCCATTTCTTTTTTTTTTTTTGGCTTTTTCACTTTTTGTGTTTTCTTTTATTTTTTATGTGGCGCTCGCGCCGCGTAGCGTCGATATGGCACCATTTATCCTCAAACAATATTAATAATGCCTCGTCAACACTCTATGCTGATCAAATTTAAAGAAGCTAACGAAAGCACCCGATTGCGCTGATTAAAAAGTTTTAGGCTCGATTGCACTTTTTTGCGAATTTTAAAACTCAATTGCATTTTCGTGACAAGTTTGAAAAGTTCCGGTGCACTTGTCTGTTAAATTTTTGTCTTGATTAAGTGTAGGTCAGCTAGTTCACGGAAATATGAACGATTTATCATGTATGAGCACATGCAAGGAGACTTACATTTTAGGGTTTCGATCAGGCTTTCAATATAGGTATTTAGCAAACCTTGCTTCCACTAACCACTAGTGCATTTGTCCTAACTATTTATTGTCCTTCTATTACAAATTAACCGCCATATATTAACCTTCGGCGCTTAGTAAACAATTTTTTTGTTTGCATTTGGATGGGAAGAAAATGTGTCCCGAAATCAAAACCGAAGATTGGTACGACGACTCAAATTGAACGGAAGCATAGTACACGAGGCCAGTTTTGTAATTTCGCCTCGGCTTTTTATTTGCCCATACGACATCGGGGCCGCATGTTCGTCTCCGATGCTTAGTTTAGTAGGCATTTTCCCCGGACATTTGGACGGAATACGGAACGTGCCATGTAATAGCGATCGAGGATCGGTTTGAGGGTCAAAATCGGTCGCGAAATAAAGCGCGGGGACCGAAATTGAAACGGTGACAACATTAGATGGACCAAATTTTTGTGAGTAGCCCCAGGGAAAAAGCCGTTTGGTACCTTGTTGGAATCCATAGTTTTCCTAGTGGGAGAGCTTGATGACTTCCTTAAGAAGGCCTTGTGACATAACTCGTTGGGGTCCACGGTAACCTCCTTGAGAAGGTTCTTTGTTTTTCAATGCCCTTTTTCACTTTCATGGCCAAAAGTAAGAAGATTCTCTTTTATCTCCCTTTTCTTTTCTTTATTTTTTTTTCTCTTCCGGCTTTTTTTTCTTTTCTATATCTTTCTTCGGATTAGGGTTTTTGGTTCGTCGTCTCCTCTCGCGTGAGGGCA